CGTACACTACATCAGATTTTAATCAGATTGCGCCAGGGTAACAAGGTTATTTTGATTATTTGAAGATGGAAACTGCTGCTTTATGGAAGAGCAAAGTTAAATGTCATTGGCACAGTAATGACGTTTTTAGAGGGGTGACTCGCTACAAGTATTCGCCGTGATTCCGGACTTTTCATTCGGGTTTATACAACACTTACTTGTTACTTTTAAATCAAGAAGGTTTAATGTCTTGTTTGTATTTGCACAATGTGAATGAGGGGTTTATTGTCAAAATATATACAGGTGCTTGTATGCCTATTGAAACTATACAACATTCGACCAATGCACATCCGTTTCATGTGTTAAAAGAACATTGGGATGTTCTCATGGAATTGTTAAATTTTGGTATCATTCCCAACTGTCACCAAAATGTAGGTTTACTGTACTGTTACTACTCGTATGCAATTTAGGGACTTGTAATAATTTTCTGGGAACTGTACAGCAAATCACATATTTTCCTTATTAATTGTTATTAGTTTTTCTAAATTTCAGTTTTTATTGTTCATAATTATTTACAGTAATAACATATTTTCCCCGATTGTGTGCATGACAGCTTTGCCCACACACAAAAGGACAAGATGATATGTACGGATATGTGTGAGTATGTTTCATGGATTAATAGGCCACTCCTTTGCTTTAATTCCAACTACATGGAAATATCACTTGCTGTTTGTCATCCATATTTTGATATCCCACAATGTGTCGATTGCGTATCTGGAAATTCTAACTACTATTTCGCGATATTTGACCAGCCTTGCTTCTACCAGTCATTTAAGTCAACTCCCATATTGTCCTTCACAGTGAAGGTTAATGCAGATATATTGTAAATTACACAGAGGTAACATTACAATACATTTCCCTTCATATTCCCCTGTATTACATAACAATCTTTGAGCTGAGGCAGTTATGGTTCTACAACCATCACCAGTTCTCTTGTTTATATGTATGTGTATGTATGTATGTATGTATGTATGTATGTATGTATGTACGCCCGTGCGTTGACCTCGGGTACTACATATGAACGCAACCGGGGTTTTGTAGGTCGTTGCTCTGATATAGCGGCAATTGTGGAGGCGAAGCTCTAGATTCTTCTTAGATATTACGTGTGAAACATCTGGCACTGAAAGACCTCGAACATATCGTGAAAGACCTTTGTACGTGTAACCCGGTGTCAAATGGTGGTGTCAAGGCATTGGTCAGAACCATTGAACGTGGAGACGCCATGTTTCATTAAAGCCGGTTTTCGTGCTAACCAGGCTTTCGCCATTTATACACTCGCATAATATTTTATTTTATTGAAAAAAACACACGCACGCAATCAAGCGCAACGTGATCGGGGCGTGTCGTTACGTGATCTA